GCCAGGGCAGTTAAAGTCTCAAACTGGATTATTTCTTCAGTGTGGTTTGGACATAAATTGTTGTATATTCTTGCTTATGCCATAAAATCAGTCTGTCCCATTCCACTTTGCTCTTTCATACAATCACATAGTTTGTGTTTTCTGAAACTGTATTCATTCAAAGTTACCAGCTCCATGATTAGTATCTAATTCATTATTATCTATGTATTGTTATATGTATGTATCCATTAAAGTTTACACACAAATTCTTTATGACTGTATCTTATTGATAAACCATATACAGTGGGCCCTTGGTATCTGCTGGGGTTTGAGTTTGGGTCCAGGAATCTTCATGGATACCAAAATGTGTGGATGCTCAAGTCCCATTAAATACAATGGGGTATTACTACTACTACTAAAACTACTAAAGTGGGTCCTTGGTATCCACTGGGGTTTGGATCAGGACCCCCACTGATACCAAAATCCATGGATGCTCAAGTCCCATTAAATATAATGGGAGGGCAAAATGGTACGTGCCCCTTATATAAAATGGCAAAATCAAGGTTTGCTATTTGGAATGTATACTTTTTAGAAAATATTTTTCCAAGCCATGGATTCTGTGGATAAAAAACCCCGTAGATAAGGAGGGCTGACTGTATTCTCTTGTAATATATCTCAAACTCATGGCCCCTCTTTTTCAGCTTCTTATCCTGAATAATCCCCTTTTTGCTTTTCTCCACTCCCTTGTACCCAGACTGTGTGCAATGGCCGGTGCCTTTCTGTGATGTTTGTTGGGCCGGGGGAGAGGTCCTTGTGTCCAAGGGACTTTCTTCTTGGTGCAAGGAAAAGAACCTTCTTCTTCTTCTCCTCCTTCTCCATCCTCTTTTCCATCGCCATGAGACATCTGCGGCTACTCCTTTGGCCATCTGTGAGCTCTGCAAGGAGGAAGAAAGGAGATAAGGAAAGATGCAGCACTCTTTCCTTCTTGCAACTGCCTTCAAGGGTGACTCAGACTTCTTGGCCCCATTCATTCATTCATTCATTCATTTACCGCTATGGCCTGAGAGAGTGTGACTTGCCAAAAAGTCACCCAGGGGGTTTCCATGGCCCAGTAGGGATTCAAACCTTGCTCTCCAGAGTTGTAGTCCAACACTCAAGCTGCTATACTAGCCTAGCTCCAACACTCTCTTGTCAGAGGCACCTCAAAGTTACCACCCATGGACACATCTTGTGGCAGTGAATTC